TTGATACATTTTATTAATATTTGTATGTTTCAATTGCCACCATGTGGCAGATCAAATGTGGTGCACTTTGGTTGGCTTTTCTTTTATAGATATTTTTTCGTACGAAATTATTATTTGGGCCAAGTCCTTTTGATGTTGTTTATACATCTTGTTAGATCATTTTTTTAAAGTTCAGTAGTGATGACAAATAGTGCTGTCAAAAGAATTCTACGGAGTTGTATATCATCATCATGATATTATTTTATCATCATCATCATCATTCTTATATTCTTATAAATATTATATTGGATTATATGTAAACAGTTTAATGTCATATCAAGGACAATCCTAACAGGTGTTATCGTTCCGGGTCATAATGGACCTGGGAGAAATGGCAATGGTGCGTCTCTGCCCTCCCCAAGGCCCGCAAGCAGGACTTTTTCACCGGGTTTAGTTTAAAGTCTTAACCACGACTTTTTAAAGAATTTAAAATAGAAATTTTAACTTGGAATATAGATGCACTAAAACACTATCTACTGCTAACAATACTAGTGGGGTTTTCCCAACATGAAAACTAAAACTTAACACTCTTGTGCTGATGTAATAGTTTTAAATTTTGTACCCATTCAAGAAGTATTCTTACGTGCATGTTAGCATTTGTTTGAAATCTTGTGTCCAATCTTAATTACTTCATCTCAACTTTATTCAAAATTAATTATTATTTTCAACACCGTAGATACCATTCAATATCTTGTTCAAGGCCAAGTTAGGTCCACTATGACCAAGGACAATTATGACCAAAGAAAGATGGATGTAGTTTGACCTCACAATCATTGATTGGTCACAATGTTATAAGTAAGAGAATGGATGTATTTTACCGTCATACTCAGGACCAATGATTGATCAGAATGTTATGACCAATAAGAGGTTGGATGTAGTTTAATCTCACACCCAGGAACGTTGATTGGTCAGAATATTATGACCAATAACATGATGGATGTAGTTTAACGTCATACCCAGGACCAATTATTTTATTCACAAATTCTTTGTTTACATTATTCGAACTGTTGTCCTCATCTTTATTGTCATATTCACGGCGTTTCGGCCGTTGTATTCTCCAGCTTTCTTCAGGTGATTGGAATTTCGAACTGAACTCTCTATTTCGTGCAGCGAATTAGTTTCACGTGTCATGCATCATTTCGCGTGTCTCATTTATCTCCCTTTAACTCAACTCTCCAAGTTTTTGTCCACCAATGCAGTCGCCAGGTATTGAACTCACAACTCTTTCGGTCAAGTCACTGGATTCCATCCAGCTCTTTTATCCAGTGAACCATGTGCCCAATTACCTGAAATAGTCCGAGGTGCACAACAGCCAAAATGTTGTTCATGTAATCTTTTTTGTCGATGTATTTTAATCTCTCAATATTGTCGCCCGTGATAATCAGATTGTCCACATAGAAAGTATATTTTCTCATTGTAGTACATTCATCATATACATATTGTTTAATGTGATATTGCAATATGAAATTCAGAATGAAAGGATAGACATTAAACCTAAACATCAGTCTTATAACGATAACAGATCAATTTAAAAAAAACAAAAAAACTGAACTGATTTTTTTTTTTTGATTTAATCATGAGAAAAACTTTTTTGTTATCTCCCAGTAAGATAAAATTATTCGTCCTAAATGTTAATATCATTACAATTCTGTCTATATTTCTGCAATATGAGCACTGGTAAAAAAAAGGTTGCTGAAGGTTTATAATACCCAGAAATTCATACAGAGATGTCCTCAAGGACACATGGCACAGTGGATAAAGACGTTGGTTAGATCCAGTGACAGAATCAAAAGTGTGAGTTCAATATCAGTGGAGAACTTTCAGACACTAACTGACACGTGGAACTGGAACTAGAACAGTCTACTCCAGTGATCAAAATAAAGGGTTCAGTTCGACATTCCAACCACCTGTACATAAAGAGGAGGACAATAGTCCAAATAGTGTTGTTTATTATGTTGATGATTAAGTTCGACATTGCAACCACCTGAAGAAGGCCGGAGCGTACAACGGCCGAAACGTTGTAATAAATATGGCGACAAAGATGAGGACAATACTCCGTATAATGTACATAATACCTCATCTCAGAAATATAGACCGATATTAAATTTATTTTATTTCTCAAGTGTTTTGATGCTCTTCAGTTCTTTAGAGTTTTCCAAAGATAAAAAGATGAAAATAAAATTGTTTAATTTTAATTTTCTTTTAATTATTTCACACTTCGTGTCAGAAAATTCCTGTGGGCGGAAGATGCAAATTTTTCTTACTTTATTATCATTTTTTCTTTTTTAACATATATATATATATATATATATATATATATATATATCACACCACTTGTTTTAAAATTTCTTCTGGTGGTACAAGGCCAATTTTAAATTTTTACGAGAAGGCTATAATAATTTTTAGGATGTGACGTGTCCTAAAAGCCCACAGAACGATGAAGGCCAAAAACATTAATCATTAATTACAACTCATGTTCAATAAATTTCACATAAAGGAAACGAGAAATTTTTTCTCGCTCCCTTTCTTTTTCGTTTCTTTTTTTTCTTTTCTTTTTTTTTACTCAAATGAAATGACAATTCATAACAGATTCTTTTACATGCTAAGAACAGCAGCTTAAAAAAATACCCTCCCTCAATACTTTCCTATTCTGTCTCGTATGATTTTTTTTTAATTTTCTTTTAAATTTTCCTTGCCAATATATTTGCTTTCGCATTTATAAATATACGTACGTTTTTTTAGCAAAATATACGATTTTTAACAACTTCCACAGCAAGTTGGGCAGATGACAAGCAAGAAAAAATTGAATAGTTTAAAAATATTTTATGTACAACAATAACACATACATCAAAACATGAATTGAGAGCGTTGCTAAAAACGTACTTTTAGCGGGTATTGCCAAACAATTGGGTCAATTCCAATACATTTCAGTTAGAAATAGTTGGTTACACTTATCTGTCATTCAAACAAAGGTTGTTTGTCTCGAAGGCCATCTGTATAATTCATGTGTTCATATGTACCACAATTCTAGTTTTTCTATGCGGGATTCGGATGATAATGTGTATTCGTTGGTGTGCGTCTAGTAGACATTTTTTATCTATGTTTGGTGGTTGTCCATATGTTGATTTGGGCCAGTTTTGTATGAGAGTAAAACAATTCAAGTTACACCGGTTTTGGCTGTAGGTAGACATATTTTACATTCTTTAAGCATGGATTATATAAAAGGTGATATAATAAAGAGTGTCTTTACAGATGGCAAAATATTGCAAGCCTTGTGAATGAAATTGGATAGACGGAACACTAAGGGCCGTCGATAGCACAAACTCTCAAGTCATCGTGACCGAGGGTTTTAATGTGTTGGTGTTGTTCATATTGCTGATCATTCTAGAAAACACGCTCTCTCCCAGAAACTGTAACTAAGGTCTGTTCAGCATAGTTGTAGTATAAACAACAGTTAGGCTCTGTGGGTATTGAACAAACACAAATATACCTGAGCGAGCATCTGCAATAGGGATTGGCTGGCTGCTCTAATAGACGGTTATCCTCGAATGCGAGTGGCTAGCTATTATTATTATATTGTATGTATATAGGTATGTAGACTATATGTATATAGGTATGTATGCTGTATTTGATTGTAAATAAAATCCCCTCACATCTCTCCGATCTCATAAAATGTCTCAAGTTTATGCGTAAAGGTATCTAGTAGGCTAGTGTTTTTTTTTTTATCATATTACTCCAAGGAAGGCAATAAAGCCACTAAGACACAAAGGGGGGGGGTTACTGTGAAAATGAAAGGAAAATGAGCAAATGTTACTGAGGGGAAAAGACAATAAAAAGAGATGGATTCAAGGAAATAAAAGATGACAACTGACGTTACATTGAAATTTTTTGTAGATTTTAGTCGATAGGAAAGCAAGGAGCTAGAAGAGAGATCCACAGGTAAAAAGTACATTAGAAGAAACTATTAAAAAATAATTTACAGTTCCATCTGGCAATTTCAGCAGTAAAAGGATGAGACCTATCTTCCAATCTAGTACTGCGCTTAAATTCATGAATTTGAGGTACCAAAGAGGAAAGCTTATCAGTAGAGTTGCCATGAACATATTTATAGGAAAAGCAAAGAGAAGCTATGTTACAGCAGCGGGAAAGTCGAGATGCCGTCTCAGTACCAATTATATTGAAATTTAAAATGATGGGACCTAGCTGCCAATCTAGTACATCATGAAGTCGAGGTACCAAAGAGGAAAGCTTATCAATAGAGTTGCTTTGAACATATTTATAGGAAAAGCAAAGGGAAGCTTTATTATAGCAGCAGGAAAGCCGAAATGTCATGTCAGCGCCGATAATATTAAAATTTACTTATATACTGAGGAGAAATGAAAGCATAAATAAAACTAAAAATATTGCTTAAAATACTTCTAAAATCTAAGTAAAACTGTGTTTCCTTGTAAATCCAGGTATTTCGACGCTTTTTTTTACATAGCTGTTGAAATTGGTTAAAGTTGGTAAAATATTTACTTCGAATATAAACCTAACCCTAAATATATAATCTTTTTTTTATTTTTTCATATATTTTTGGGGGTTATTATACGTCTATATAGGGTAAATATATTTTGGACGTTTGTTTCACATCAGTTCATTAATAACAATATTATTGAAATTAGGTTTATCATTGTATGTTATTGTAAAACGTTTTCTAGCTTTGTAAAATCTGTTGTAAAATATATATATATATATATATATATATATATATATATATATATATATATATATGTTTGTGTGTGTGTGTTCATTTCCATGCGGAAATAGAGGCAACTGACTTCGAGCACTAATAATAAATATTATCTTAATTATAAGGAAGCTGAGAAATAAGCTATCTTTTCCCGAATAACGACAACGACAAAAAAAAAAACTCCTAATTACGGTTCTAAATATGGATGCGTATTACAAAAGACACTGATATGGATATTGATCGCCCTGCACAAGATTCTCAGAGTCTGTTCCTGACTACCTACCTATCTCTTTCCCTCTCTCTCCTTCTTTCTCTATATCTTTTCTTCCTCGTCTCTTTCTCTCTCTCTCTTTCTCTTTCTCTTTCTCTCTCTCTCTCTCTCTCTCTCTCTCTCTCTCATTATATATACATATTTAATTTAGGCTCTACTTATGTAATGAGCAATGTTTTTTTAAAAAATAAAAGCAAAAATACTACAGAACTTTGTATTATTAACGTACTGGTTCTTTCCTTCCCCCCCCCATATATATATATATATATATATATATATATATATATATATATATATATATATATATATATAGGGATCACCCAAAAGAAAACGCAGTATGTAAGCTTCAAAACGAATTTTTAAAAAATGAAAAATTTTTCTTAAAGTTTTTATTTTAGTTTTAATTTCAAGCTAATAGATTAAATTTAATATTTCCAATAAGCAAGATACTTTGCTGCATTTCAACAACTAATTTAAATTGACTAATTTAAATTTAAGTTGAAAATTACATTAAAATCCGACAAATATTTGATTTTTACATATTATGTAGACCATTGACGCAAGAAAAACAAAATTTTAACCCAAATTTCGAACTTATTAGAAAAGATTAGAAGATTTAATAAAATATTCAAAAAATAATTTGGTCTTTCCTCTTAAAAGCATAAATATTCAGACGATAAAAGTTTAGTTTTATCAAGTTTGGGTCCTTTTTTTCATCATGGTATGCTTTTTATTTGAAAGTTTTTGGAGATAACAATATATATATATATATATATATATATATATATATATATATATATATATATATATATATACAATGATGGTTGTCTAGTACAAGGTCCAAGAGTCACTCGAGGTAGAGGGTTACAGAGTAAGAGGCACCACCCCAAGTAAGTTGATAATGCAACCAAGACGCAAGGATCCAACGGAAAAGAGAAGAAAAATACTTTAGAAGGAACCGGAAACTCAAGGGTACATGGGATAAAATCTCTAGTCCTGTTCAAAAGGACCGGGGTGGCGTGTGAACCGGGCGATAGGCGAATCTATCTACTCCTATTGAGAAAAAAAAGTATAAAGAAGTTCATTTTAAAAGGAACCGGAACTTCAATCCTGAACAGGAAACAAGGGATATACGTCTACTCTTGTTCAAAAGATCGGGGAAGATATATATATATATATATATATATATATATATATATATATATATTATTTATGTGTGTGTGTGTGTGTGTGTGTGTGTGTGTGTGTGTGTGTGTGTGTGTGTGTTGTAGGATGTATAATGGTATCAGAATCGGAAGTGGAGCTGATGAGGCAAACGATATAAACGACGCGTTTCGCCAAACCGACTGTTGGTCTCGGCTTCTTCAGGCCAAAATTTAAAATCCAACAGATACCAATGGATCTAAAATATATAACGAAAACTTTCTGGTTTCTGGTCGTCGGATCTGATAAGGGAATTTAATTTATGGTGACTCTTCTCTTCAAATATCCAAACGGATATTCTTTACACACATATTTCTCATTCGTTCTAACCTGAGGAAGACGAAACTAACAGATGTTCGGCGAAACGCGTCGTTTATGACATTTCCACTTTGTCTCATCATCTCTACCCACACGCGCGCACACGCGCGCACACACTCGCAGACACACGCACACACACACTTCTTTGGTAGCCTATTTTACGCCTTCAACTACAGATATTTTACACTTCATTTTATATTTTAATATAAAGTTATATTTTTTAGATATATTATTTGTTGGTAATTTTAAAAAAATGTATTATTGTTAATTTTTTATAAAAATATATTACGGTTAATTCTACTATAAAATATATTTTTGATACTTTCCTAATGTTTTTATTTCACCATTTTCCTGGAGCTGGAGCCCTAGCAGGTGCTACCACCTCGGGTTAGGGTAGAATTGGGAACCACAGTATAAAGAGAGGGTTTCGATTAGAGGACTTGTTGCCGTATATATATATATATAATATATATATATCAGTCATTCCAACTTTCCAGGAACCATTTCTATAAAGGCATGTAATCTTTGTGCTTGCTTTTCAATATGGAAACAAATATCAAAAATATATATATATTTATTTATATATATATATATATATATTAGGCCTTTTGGTTTGTTCAAGAGTTTCATTGTGAACTTTCCAGGAACCTAAATTTCCAGGAACCTATAAAGGCAGGTAATCTTTAGAAACCTATTCTGCTTATTTTCTTTTCAATCTAAGAATGGAAACAAATCACTTTTTAGTATCAAAAAGAATTAAACAATTTTGATAATTTAGTAGAAAACATTTATTTATGAAGATATTTGCAAATTGAAATTCTGTTCTCATCATATTTCTATTCAGAAGTTTGATGCTTTTTGACTCTAGTGTCATCAGCTGTGTTATGATCTCGGAGCCACATTTGAACTGAATCGCTGCAGTCCCAAAGATCTAATTGTTATTGTCCCTGATGCTTTTCTTGTGGTTACTGTGCTGTAAAAGGAAGTCTGTACCGGTTTCTTCTACATAATTTCCTTTCTCGCATTAGTGACAGAAAAGTAAATATAAGACACTGGAACTCTCCCAGCTTAGAACCGGTGACCTGAATACTATGTGAGTTCGGAGGCAGAGATGTTGTAAGTGTTGATGTGTTTGCAGACGAGGCACCGGGTTGGTTACTTTACATACAAACTTATGTAAGGAGTGAGGAAAGTTAATGTAGATACATATTATTCTTGTATTACGTAATCATATCTTTACCTGTGTGGAGATTCATAAGTTTGTGTGGTAGCTTGGGTATACTTACACACTGCTATGTGCACTTATGTACAGGGCGCATCTATAAATGTATACGCTTTTCCCCTCTTTTTTCCTTTATTATTATTATTATTTTTTATTACCATTTTTTCTGCATCCCCCCCATTTTTTAACAATAGAATTAAAAAATTTCTATCCAAATAGTTTATCCTTCTATTTACGCCATCCCTTTCTTTTATTTTCATTTTTATTTTTATTACTTTTTTCCTGTGTTCCTACATACTTTTTTGTCTCGTCTCACAGCCCGAGTCTCTGATATTGACGAGTTATCCTAACCAGACCCCGTCGTTTTGAAATAGATAAGTTGGACGAACAATTTATAGATACACTGACGACACACAAGACGTTTCCCACACCCTGCAACCTATGCCACTCTTCCTCTATATTTACAATCTCACTTCCCCCACTGACACGCTTTTGCACCGATCCAAAGTTTAAATTTGAGTTTATTTTCATAAAAACCTTCGCACAGTGAGGAATCAGACAGAGATCGGGGTTTTGCTAATAATATGATCTCCACCAGAAAATACACCATCCACGAAAACATCTGTCGATGAGTAACTCCCATTTCTCTGCTTATTTCTCGTTCCGTTGATGAAGGACACAGGCGTGTCCAAAAATTCTGAACTTAAAACCTTTATTTCCTTACTTCATTTGTGTCATATGGTTAATAATTAATATTTAATAAATGTTTTTCGTACTGTTTATATTGATACTCTTTTGTTTGTCCTTGTTTTATTAACTAACCTATTTTACATACTATAAGAAGCACACGTGGACCCTTTCTTCTAATTACATATATATATATATGTGTGTGTGTTTCCTTAAAGACCGACTGACAAAATACTGCGATTAAGATTTTTATTAATCGCAGTACCTTCTCAGTCGTGTTTAACGAAACATATATAAAAGAGGGATTGCTGCCTAAATACACAATATATATATATTATAGAAGCTATTAGGATGATTTGAGGATGTGCATGCAAACATATTAGCATATATAGTTATTTTCCAAGCGTAACTTAGATGTGGCACAAGGCCGAAAGTATGGGGCATCCAGTGAGGATCGAATTCACTTTTCAGTTGTAACTGATCTAGTGAGACAAGCTTGCTAACCATTTACACCACGCCGATGCTCTTCCTTGCACAGGTGTCCAGCCATGCTGAGCACCTTGCAGTGATGTTGGTCTGCATATATATGTGATTATGTTGTCTCAAGTTTGACAGGAAGCGTGCTCTATCGTGATAAAACCTATTTAAATATAAACAATGTGAACAAATACATCAGCACTCTATGGTGACTAGCAAATTTACTGCTTAAGAGTGATGGTCTGATGATCGCTTACCATGTGAAACTGACAGTCAACATTCTTGACTTCTCTGTCCAAACTGTTTACGTCTACACAGATTTGAATTTGCCATAAAACGTGCATATGACGGAAAATACTATTAACAAAATTGCTGTGAATAAATCACTTTGATCAATTGGATCATTTGGATAGGTGATCATTTCATGCCCAGCTTTTAACAATATTATTATTTAAAATGTCTAATTTTCACTATGAAAAGATGTCAATATTGCCTACTTTCTATTGCTTACTTGCCTTTACTCTCAAGCTGTGATCTAAATGCTGTGGTAGTTACTATTTCAAGCCAGTAAAAAAAAAAAACCTTATTTGAAGAACTAGATTATTTAATTCTCAAAGATCGAACATTATACAATTTACTCCCAAGCTATGATCTAAATGCTAAGGTAGTTACTACTTTCAAGCCAGGAAAAAGGGTTTATTTGAATAACTAGGTAATTTAATTGTCAAAAAGATCGAACATTATAGAATGAACATTTCAGATCAAAATTGTCAAATTATACATTTAGCGACACACGCCGTATATATGTGCATATTTGTGGGCATATATATATATGTCTGTGCGTATGCATGCGCCTGCGTGTTTCTTTATGTGTCTTTATATATATATATAATGCCATCCACAGACAGACTGTTTCGCAGCTGCTTCAGTGTGGCTAGACGTCCTGTTGCCTTGAGTTAGGATAGAAACCGACTGAATTGCCGTTAGTCGGAGATTCTACCACTATGCCGTCGGCGCACGACAGAGATGAAGGTGGATTTTAGCGTATTTATTTTTAGATATATACACAGTGACCGACAGGACTCAATCCGCTTTTGCCGAAGAGTCTCGCTATATCAGCCGTAATAGTCACTGTTTACAAACACACATTAATATATATATATATATATATATATATATATAATAATGGGAACGAGAATAGTGTAAAGCATCGAAACAAGAATGCATCTTTGTAGCGGGTAACTGTTTTTGTCCACATTTAAACATTTATAATAAATTATATATATATATATATATTTAACTTATGACAAATTTGGTAATCCGTATGGGTAGTCCCTTTTTCTCTCTTCTCCCCTCCCATTTCAATATATCACTTCCGTTATGCTAACCGTTTAAATAGGTCAAGGTCTGATCCCTCCTCCCCCAATACTAAGTATGATTGAAAGAAATATTAAAATAAACCCTCTCTAAACTCAACCATGTCTCTCCCACCACTCCTCCCTACCTCTCTGTTAAATTACATAAGCTTGATACTACCCGTCAAAAGTGTGAATTTTCATTTCATCTTTCATTTCATTTTTGGAAGTGTTATCTGATGATTCAGCGTCCCTTAAAAAAAGCTCTGGTGAAATAAATTATTATAATGGAACCTTAAAGTGGTCTTTTTTTTTATATTTATATATATATATATATATATATATATATATATATATATGACACAGTGGGGGAAAAATTTACTTGTGACACGCTTCGTCCTTCAGGACTTCATAGAACTAAATTTGTTATGTTAGTACGACGGCACAGGCGCCTGAACGAGGGTTTCTGAGAATTTTAGAATTCTTTTTATATACCTAGCCGAATTTATCTAAAAAATGAATATGAACAAAACTAGCAAACCCAACCTCAAAAAAAAAAACAAAAAAAAAACGTAGACCCCCACGTATAGCATCTCCTACCCCAACGTGAGGGGTCTACGTTCCAACTTTCAAGAAGTGGAATACCATCTTCTTCAGTCCAAACCGGACGTCCTGTTACTTTCTAAAAACGGTATCAACGTCTCAAGCGCACTAGAGGAGCTCATAGTCTCGGGCTGCTCACCTGATAGCAAAACACAACCACTTAAATCGTCATGGCCACGGACTCGGAGCCAACATCAAGGACGAGTTTCCCTGTGTCAGGGACGGAAAAAAAAACGAGGACCCTGATCTCCCTTAGATGTGCTTCCGCGTGGTACTTACCACATTCTTTTTGGCTCTCTATCGCCCACAGGACGAAGAGGCGGTAATCTTCGCTCAAATATCAGAAAAGATTGATAATATCCTCACTCAATTTCCCTCGGCCAGCTTTCATATCTGCAGTGACTTCAATATCCACCATAAACAATGGCTAGTCTACTCCAACAAAACCGATGATGAAGGCAGATATTGAGAGACTTTACGTCCCCTGTGAGTTAACCCCGATCATCGAAGAATCTTACACGTGTCCCGGACACGACGGGATATCAGGCGAAACTCTTCGAATTCTTCCTAACCTCCTGCCCTAATAAAACGTTAATTAATGAATATATTTACTTCATTAAAAAATAAATTTATTTACGATTTACTTATTGAAAATAATTAAAAAGGATATTCACTAATTAAGGTTTTAATCCTTCAATTACCTTTCTTCGGTTATAAAAATAAGTTATGTTTTTCTGGTGCTGAGTTGCCTCGGTTCTGAGTTGTCCGAACGTCCAGTCGGCGGTGTTACATTGGTCCTTCCCGTATTTTCTTGACCCGAATATTCTACAATGATGGTTGACAGAGGAGGCAATAAGTGAGAGGGTACCTGTAAGACACTCTTTATCTATCTGTGTTTGTCCGTGTGTCTGTGCGTGTGTGTTGACGGATTTGTAAAGGATAAAGGGATTAACACTGATTGTCATGTAAGACCAAAAGCAACTCTTTAGTAATCTATTCTTCTTCTTCTCCTTATAATCTTTACTGATAAATGCCAGATTTAAATCTGTTTCTTTTACAATGAAAATATCAGATGATTCACCGTTTCAAATCTATGACCTCAAGGTCGGTTCAAACGGGTAAAGATCTTTTATCGGATCTGAATCTTTTGAATAACATGAGATTTTTTTCTGAGTCAAAATTAAACAATAAGATTTGAGCCTGCCGCGCGGCCGTGAAAGCGACGTATTTAACTAATCAAACTTTCGTCATTTGTGTCGAGCTAAAAGTCTGGGATTTCAAAGCAAGCTGAACATTCACATTTGGCGCAGCACAGTCTTCTTACATCAGCTAACAAGGTGCGTTCTCGCAGTATTGTAAGAACGTTATGTTTTATTTAGGAGATATGGGACGTTCGGGTGAAGTTACTATAATGGATAGCGGCTCGGATTGACGAATCGTAGTACCGAGTTCGAATTCCAGTCGAGTTCATTACAGCCAATTTCGTGCTGATTCTCTTAGGAAAGGTATAAAACTAGCGCTTCTCTCTCAGTTATGGGTGAATAGCAGGACAGACTCGGTTCTATAACCTTGGCTGGCAACCTGTCTAGGGGAAAGAAAAACTCTGAATTCAAAACCTCCAACTATGGACAGGACAGTCTCGGTTCTATAGCCTTAGGTGGCAACTGGTCCACGAGAAGGAAAACTGAACTCAAAACCTCCAACTTAAATAGTAGGATAGTATGACCTCTGTAGCCATGGTTGGCAACCAGACTAGGAGAAGGTCAGCTCTGAATATGAACCCTGAGCCGGAGTCCCTAATATCTCTTTATTCCTAAATCTATCTATCTCAGCCTGTTGATATCTAACTAGCTAGCTGTCTCTCTCTCTCTCTCTCTCTCTCTCTCTCTATATATATATATATATATATATATATATATATATATATATATTAAAATAATAAGAAAGAACAGTAAGATTTATAACCCGGTGTCCTTAGCAATTATTTTTATTTTTAAAAAACAGTGCTCGATACAAAACAGTAGAGCAAAATATTCTAATTATTTTCTTTTAAAAAATATGATTTAATTTAATTTCCCTAGACAGCTCATTGTCTGGGCATATAAGTTAAGTAGATTTATTTGAAAGCTTATTCCTATCATCGCTTGACAATGGAACGAGCTTAGATTTTAAGTTTAATTTTAGTAATGAAATTTATAAATTTAGTTTCAGTTTTGAAACATGGAAATTTTATGTGTCACGATGGAATCATATTTTTTAAATAGAAAATAATTATAAAATTATATTATATTACGCACACACACACACACACACACACACACACACATATATATATATATATATATATATATATATATATATATATATATATATATATCCGTCTGTTCATTATCTATCTATCTAGCTGTCTGTCTCTTCATATCTATCTATCTATTGTAATAGGCATCAATTTATATCACGCGATCATGTTAGAACCCTGTTCAGTCAAAATTCAGTCTTTTTGGTAGAGACTGGAAGAACTTCTCCAGAGTGAATACCTGGGCAGGAGTATACTGCTCAAACCAAATTGTCCCACTCTCGTCCGTACCCTCATCTCGCTCCTCGTTTTATATATATATATATATATATATATATATATATATATATATATATATTAAGCATAAGTTCAACCCAATCAAGGCAGTAAAGCTGAGACACAAGTATTTTTTGGAAGAATTAGAAATCAGAGCAAAAGGAAGAGTAATCAGGAGAACACCTGATATATATATATATATATATATATATATATATATATATATATTCACGTGCGCCTGCGCTATAGGAAATAACAGCACGTCATAATTAAGTGGAATTAATCAAATGCCTCGGCAAATAAATTTGGCAAGACAGCCAGATAAATAATTCAATTAGATTGGAATAAAACACCATAAACATTGCAGGGATAAAATCACCTGGTGATTTCTGGGATTCGACAAGCCAATAAAGTCCTAATGTGATGTTGAGAGTGCGCAGTAAAATGTCGGAGTCATGACTTCCGTTAAAATGGCTGAGATCTTATTTAAACTTCGCCATAGAGAGCAAAAGTTGTCAAACAAGTTTCGCCGACCATTATCCTGAGGTCATTTCGATCATTACGATGACCGTATGCCAGATTAAGTTTAGTAAATATAGATTCCAAGCCTAGAGCAATTTTTAGTTAGCTATTCTGGTATGCCACCAGCTTGCGAAATCAGATCGATTCTTAGAGGTGATCGGATAATGTGAGTTCATGTTGTCTAAGCTAGACTATGTAGATGTCGGCTTTCAAACTAACATTGTCGATTTATTCTAGTGAATTTGAACTTCACCAATGGGCCATTATTTTTGACTTGAGCCAGAGTTTTTTAAACTTGGGAATTGTTAAGTGAGTAAAATTCTACCGTTTTTGTTTTTTTTTGTTTTTTTTTTTGGCGCTGTGCCAGACTCTGGTATGGAAGAAAAAGATTTTCCTTATGAAATGTTTATGATGTGAGAGAATTAACAGGGGAGCATTTTCCTCTTCCGCTCATCCAAATTAAAGGAAGACTGATAAACAGAGAGTAATGTTTGGAAACCAGAACTTCTCTAGTGGATAAAACTTGTTCGAACCCTTAAAGCCCCGGTTATGGTCGGGGAGCCGAGGGAAATTGCGCTACCCTTCAATCGAATTTTGATTACTGATTTCGAACAAATCGCCAAGGAAATCTCTTGTAATTAAATTTTTTATAAAGTGCCTCGTGAATTTTTCACGAGGCGTTAATTTCGGACAAGAAAAAGAGTCGTCAAGTCTCTTTTAGCGAATAACTGGCATCGAGATAGTAAATATTTTAGTTGGACCCAGTTGTCTCCCCTGCCGATGCACTTCCGTTTCCTGGCAAGTGACGAAAGGCGCAAGTAACTAATCCGATGGAAAAAGGACGCTGAACCAGATGCGTTCATTTTAGATAAAACCACAATATCCGAAAAAAATTTCATTGGCCTTGTGCCATACTTAATTTATCTTCTCTCTCTCCTTCTCTCTTTTTCATGTATACTTTTCTTTCTTTTTTCTTTTTTTTTAGACTTCTTTTTTCTTTCTTTTTCTTTCATTCTTTCTATTCACTTTCTTTTTTCTTTCTTCCTATTTTTTCTTTTTTCTTTCATTCTTTTTGCTTTCTTTCTTTTTACTTTCTTTTTCTTTTTTCTTTCTTTTTTTCTTTCTTTTTTCTTTCTTTCTTTTTCTTTCTTTTTTCTTTCAGTTTGTTTTTTTCTTATTTTTTCCTTTGTTTTTGCTTGCTTTCTTTCAATCTTTTTCTTTCTTTCTTTCTTTCTTTCTTTCTTTCTTTCTTTCTTTCTTTCTTTCTTTCTTTCTTTCTCCCTTCTTCGATTTTGTATTTACTGAGCTTTCTTTGAGCTTTTCTTTCTGAATTTTCTTCCTTCCATTCCTGCTCATTTCTTTTTCCTGTTTTTCTTCTTTCTTTCTTGTTTTCTTTTCTTTTTTGATTCTTTCTTCCTTTACTTCTACATTTTTTTTTTTTTTTTTCATTTCTTCTTTCTATCTTCGGTTTTTCCTTTCTTTTTCCTTTCTTATTTCTTTCTTCATTCCTTCCTTCATTTTTCCATCCTGCTTTCTTTCTTTTCATCCTTTTTTTCCTCTTTCATTGTTCTCTGATACTTTCTTCTTAATTCTTCTTTCATCCATTTTTCTTCTTCCTTTCTCATTTCTTTTTTTGCTTCTTCTTTTTACAACCTTTTCCTTTTTTCCGACGTGTTTTCTGTTTTGCCTTCTTCATCATTTCTGCCGCTTTCCTTTTTCCTTTTTCTTTCCTTCTGTCTTTACTTGTTTTTTCTTCCTTATTTTTTCTCGTTTGTTTCCTTCCTCTTCTTTCTTTCTTTCTTTCTCGCTCATTCTCTCTCTCTCTCTTCTCTGTCTGTCTGTCTGTCTGTCTGTCTGTCTGTCTCTCTCTCTCTCTCTCTCTCTCTCTCTCTCTCTCTTCTCTGTCTCACCCCATTCTTTCTCTTTGAATATATTTTCATTTCCTTCTATTTTCTGCCGTTTTCCATTCCTCCGCTTACTAAACTGAATTAATTACGGCAAAAGACGAACTCTGGGAATGCAGCTAGGAATTTGGTGTTGAATCAATATACAATATGTAACATAAGATGATTTCCAAAGAGTGGGATAAAGAAAAACTACGGATAATAAATAGACTACTTTATGTTTTCTTTTCTTTTTCTCACGTTTGCCAATAAAGGTATCGGCAGTTATTTTGACATTTTCACTGTATAAAGTCACAAAAATTACGGAAAAAATCAGTGAACAGCACACTTCCGTCTATCGAATACGTACGCTTGACAACAACTGACGTTTGGCGGGCTCAGGTCGTTCAGCCAGGCTGGGTGATGGTGAGGGCGGAGTCGAGCCGATCGATCATGACACCTGTTGCCACGTCATAAGTGGCCTGGGCCAAGTAGGTAAGCTTTTCGCGCGCCAAACTCAACACTAAAATGACCCATAAATATGTTGATCTGCCGCTAAATGAACAAACAACCACACAGATCAGTCTAGATAGGCGTCATTTTTATGTAAGTCCCCCTTTACATGATAAATTATTGCGTAAATTGACCCTAAATTTATCCATCTCACATTAAGCACAGACATAACATCACGCTGTAGATTGTGAAGACTTAAATGCTTTTGAGAAGTTAATATTTATGGAGTCCTGATATCCAATGCTTGGTCGACAAAGTCTTAACAAAAAAAAATGTAACTTTCAACAGGGATCGAACTTGTGTATCCCTGTTATTGAAGGTGCGTTTAACAGACAGCAGCTGAAGTTTATGTTTTCACATTTCATGGTATGGATGACCAAACCAACTTAAAATTACAAATATTTATCATTAGGGCAGCAAGAGATGTTTTTGAACTGACAAGCTGCGAGTGTCCCAAGAGAAATCATCTGCTGATGATTAATGTAGAGATTATTTTTCAATTATAAAAACACCGGTCATGGGACAGAAGAAGAAGAAGAAGAAGAAGAAGAACGAAGAAGAAGAAGAAGAAGAAGAACGAGGAAGAGAACGTGAAGAAGAAGAACAAGAACAAGAACAAGAAGAAGAGGGGAGAGGAGGAGTAGGAGGAGAAGAAGGAGAAGTAGAAAGAGTAGAAGAAGGAGGAAGAGAATGTGAAGAAGAAGAAGAAGAAGAAGAAGAAAAATGAGCAAGAGAACGTGAAGAAGAATGAGAAGGGAGGAAGAAGAGGAGGTGGAGAAGAAGAACGAAGAAGAGAACGGGAAGAAGAAGAAGAAGAAGAAAGGGAACGTGAAGAAGAACGAGGAAGAGGAGGAGGAGGAGTAGAAGAAGAACGAGGAAGAGAATATGAACAAGAAGTAGAAGGGGAGGAAGAGGAGGAGGAGAAGAAGAAGAGAACGGGAAGAAGAAGAAGAAGAAGAAGGGAACGTGAAGAAGAAGAAGAAGAAGGTGGAAGAGGAGGAGGAGGAGAAGAAGAATGAGGAAGAGAACGGGAAGAAGAAGAAGAAGAGGAAGAAGAAGAAGAACGAGGAAGGGAAAGTAAAGAAGGAGGAGAGGAGGAAGAGGAGGAGGAGAAGAAGAAGAACGAGGAAGAGAACGTGAAGAAGAAGGAGAAGGGGAGGAAGAAGAGGAGGAGGAGGAGGAGAAGAAGAAGTACGAAGAAGAGAACGGGAAGAAGAAGAAGAAGAAGAATGAGGAAGGGAACGTGAAGAAGAAGAGGAGGAAGAGGAGGAGGAGAAGAAAGAGGAAGAGAACGTGAAGAAGAAGAAAAGAACGAGGAAGAGAACGTGTAGAAGAAGGAGATGAGGAGGAGGAGAAGAACGAGAAGAAGAGAGCGTGAAGAAGAAGAACGAGAAGAAGAAAACGTGAAGAAGAAGAAGAAGAAGAAGTAGAAGAAGAAGATCCTTATTGTTTTAGAATAAAAGATAAAAATTAGAAACTTTTTTAAATAATTAAAAACCCTAAATTCCTAAATCTCAAAAAAAAGTGTGAATATTATTTTCTTTTTTGCACACCAAATACCGAGAATATGGCAGAAAATTGAAATGTTTACAAATATATTCGATTATATTTCGTTACTTTTAATTTGAATAGAGACTTGAGGATTGTAGAGTCTGCCTTCTATCACCATGGCTAATGCTAACCTCCTGAAGAGGGGACTCACTGTGTCTTTTTGATCTCACGTTTCCCCATGAAGGTGAAGTGATTACATTGAATCAACCGTTTTTCTCATCAGAATCCATCTTGCACATTCATAAATCTACAATTCCTCCGTGCATTCAATATTGCTACCATATTTTATCTAGCGCTCCGGTTATATACCCCTAGATCCTTTATCCAAAGATAGGTCTGTTATGTTATAGGTCCTGACCTGGCATTTCAACTTCAGTCAAATTCCCACCGTCGTGACGCATATTCCCTCTGTCTTTTGATCTTCAAAAAATTAAATGCAATGTCAATCGTTATCTACTGTCTTCTTGATTCCTTTTCTTTGATTGTTATCGCTCCCTAAAACTTTTTATCTTTTGTTTATTCTTTCACACTCAGTCAACCCCTTGTGTCTCAGCGGCTTTATTGCCTTGATTGGGGTGAAATATTTTTTAAATATATGACAATAGTGCAGAATCATAAAATATTTCAATTGATTTTCAATCTCCACAGAATAATCTTTTAAACCTTTTTCACAATCTAGCTGCATCACAATCTTTTATTTTATTGATTTATGCGTTTTTAATTTAGTATTTTCCTCTATCACCTATGGTCCGTTCTCAAGCCATGTTAAGCGCCATGATTTTGAAAAGCCGAGTTTCAAGGCAGGTAGACACTGTCCCGCTTGAAGATCTTGTATCAGACTAAGTGTAGTTATAAATTTACACCCGAAACCACGCTTGATAGTGAAATTTTCCCAGCTACCCTGCACAATATGGCAACATCATTGTTAGGGTTTTCATTATTCTGTGTAACATCCTTTATTTCCTTTATTTCAGATTCGACAGTTTTGGGGTAAACCACGCTAATAGCATTTCTCCTCTCTAAGAACAATCGGACATGGAAAAGGCCTCAACGATGAAGAAAAGTTTGCGATCATGAAAGAAAGTGCTAAAGTCATTGTCATTGTGCCATTGCAGAGAGGTTATGTCGTTATGTGGACACGGTTAGACGATTCCTGAGGGATCCTTCGCCAATGAAGAAACGATCCGATTGAGGGACCTCCAAGACTAGAGCTACGGATTTAAGGAATATTATCCGAAAGTCAGGTGGGAAACCCGGAAAAAAAGCAAAGCCATTTTCAACGCCGCTGGACGTCTTCATGAAAAACTCCATAAATCGGGATCATGGCTTCCGTGCGAACTCCTTTGAAACTGTCTCATTTAATGCTTTGTCACAGGAATTTGAGGCTTCTTTGGGCCCGGAAGTATATGACGTTGGGCTTGTGTTCTGTTCACTGACGACACCTGGGCAACTCTTGAGGAACCTGATTGTTGGGCAAAATATGTCGATTCGGAGATGAGCGACACCAATGTTTACAGTATTAACAACAGGGTGGAGGAGTCATGTTTTGGCCCAGTCATCGTACCTGAAGTCTTTAAAGTGATCGCAGTCGCCTACTGCAATCTCTTAAAGGAGGTCTTGGATCCATGGCTAGATGACATATTGCTGTCACTTCTAAGGACTCCAGTATTCATGCATGACAATACTCTCTTCCACATTACCAGGGTCACCCTAGCATTCCTAGGCTTTTACGTCACACAAGATGAAAGGTTGATGGTTTGGCCGCTTGCCTCTCCAGATCTTAACCCTATCGAAAATCTTTGATCCATCATTAAACAAGATGTTTATACTGATGGACTCGCATTTGCGTCGAAAGATATCTTATGGGTGACCATCAAAGCTGCAGAAGAGGCAAACTAACATTCTACGATAAAAATTTGACAGATTCCATGAGTGATAGAGTTTTTGATGTTGTCCGTCGAAATGCGCTCATGGGGTTAAATAATGCATTATGTCAAAAATCTTGTGATATGATTTTTTGTTAAATATATACTCGAGGCATGCTTAATATGTACCATCATACTCCAATTTCTCCAAAAAAATGTCTACATGGGCTATTTTTATTCAAAAACTTTTGGCAACGTTCACCACAAAATTGTCGAATCTAGAATTAAAATAAAAATAAATAAAGGACGTTACACAGAATAAAGAAAACCTAACAATGGTGTTGTCATATCGTAGAGAGCAGCTGGGAAATGTTTTTTTTCAAACTCAATTTAGAGAAACCCGAGAAATCGTAAATATCACTAACAATTAGCGTGGTTCGGAGTGTAGATATAAATTAAGTCTCTCTCTCTCTCTCTCTCTCTCTCTCTCTCTCTCTATCTATCTATCTATCTATCTATCTCTCATGAACGAAATGTCAGGAAGTACTTACTCTCACAAACTATTATTTTAATAAGTTTACGCAACTCACATACATACACACACAAACACAAACTAACACACATATATATATATATATATATATATATATATATATATATATATATATAAATATTCTGTCATATGGTTAATAATTAATATTTAATAAATGTTTTTCGTACTGTTTATATAGGTACCCTTTCGTTTGCTTTGTTTTATTAACCAACCGGTCTATTTTACATACTGTAAGAAACACACGTGGTCCCATTTAATTTTATATTATAATTATATATATATATATATATATATATATATATATATATTGACAAATGGCAAAACGATTCATTGAAACTAGATTTTCTAGATACAACAACGAAAAGAGAAATGTGTGTGTGTGTGTGTGTGTGTGTGTGTGTGTGTGTGTGTGTGTGTGTGTGCTTAAATAATGAACCATTAGTACTTTTTTCTCTGAGGTGGCGTTTTTGGAACTGATGAAGCCTAGAAAGGCGAAACGCGTAATCAAATCTAGTTTCAATGAAACGTTTTTTCATTTATCAAATTTCTTCAAAATTTTGTTATGATAATATATCTTATATTCAAGCATATATATATATATATATATATGTGTGTGTGTGTGTGTGTGTGTGTGTGTGTGTGTGTGTGTAAATATTCTCAGATGGAGTCTATCTGTAGAAGAGACAAAATGAATACAAAGAGATAAAAGGTAAAAACTCTACTTAGCCGACGCCTTTCGACCTCTGAGGGACTTTATCAAGTTTGCTTTGATAAAATCCCTCAGAGGACGAAACACCTCGGCTAAGTATAGTTTTTCCTTATATCTCTTTTTTTATATATATATATATATATAATTATATATATATATATATATATATATATATATATATATATACATATATATATAGAGAGAGAGCTTTACGGTATGCTATATTTATGGGTTAACGTGCTCAATATCAGGGATATAGCGTATCTAAATATAAAAGTAGACATTGAGTGGGAGGTGATAATAAAGTGTTGAAACTGTCTGTAGTGAATACAGTCTAAAGCGCTTTCGGCAATTCATTCACCATTTTCATGGGTTCGCTGTTAGAATGTTTTCCTGTGATTATGTTCTCAATTGTGTTTTGCGGAGGTAGTAGTAATTCTAAGCTGTGTTTAATGAGATGTCGTGACATTTCTATACATATTGTCTATGTCTCAAAATTCACAGCGATCTTTTCCGGGAAAGAAAGACTGAATACAAAATTTAAAATCGGTTTTCGAAGTGTATAAAAAAAAAAAAAAAATTGTTGCAGTAATTTTGAAAATAGCGACGATCAGCATTAGAAACTCTAGCTTCGGCCTGGGCTCGAACTCCGACCGATTTCAAAATCCGAAACCATCCTAGCAAGTCGTCAAGACCACCCATTTCCACTTCCCCTCTTTTGCCTCATTTTATCCCAAGCGAAGCTCGAGTAAACATTTCCAGAATAATCGATCTAAACTCCAATGACTTAAACTCGTGACCGACAGTTGGCTTTATCGGCTGCAAATTCGAAGAGAAAAATAAAATGGAACGCAGCTTCCAAGTAAGGGCGAGGAAATAGCAAAGAAACAGCGAAATGCGCATGTGCAGCCAGGCGTTAAATTTAACAATCAGCTGCACCTGCCGGACAAGATATTTGGGAACAGGAGAAACTGAATCGTTTTTGTTTTGCTTTTCTCTCTTTTTTTTTTTTCTGCTTTCTATCTTTCTGTCTTAAAACGCTTTCCTATTTCCGTTTAGACATACCTTTCAGTCTATCTATCTATTTATCTATCTACCACATTCGGCGTTCATCTATTTAACTGCGCCCACACAATCATTCAAGTGTGCACATACACACACACACACGCACACACACACACACACACGCACACATATGGTATATTTTTTTTTCTAAGAAGTCAATAGTTTTATTCGACATTATTTCCTAATACAGCAAAATCCACAAAATAAAGTTTGTATTAGTTGATAATATACAGGGTGCGGCAGAAATACCGCCCATATATACCTTGCAGAAATACCTCTCACATATTGATAAGCAATGGTGTTATCATCATGGGGACTTAGCTAGATTGCACACACATACACACACACACAGAGACACACATTGAATAATGATCTACTGTCCCAATACAATATATATATATATATATATATATAGTCTTAAGGTGTGCTATATTTATGGGATAAAGTGCTCAATATCAGAGATAGGGCGAGTGTAAATATAAAAGTGAACATAGAAGGCAACACTTAGAGGCGACAGGCTGTTTCATGCTAAACGCAGTCGTCAGGCTTAACGATAGCGTCTAGCATGAAACAGCCTGTCGCCTCTGAATGTTGACTTTAATGCTCACTTTTATATTTATATATAAAGAAACAGAAGGCTAAGCAGAGGAAAACAAAAAAGAAGAGGTTTATTAAATACTCATACAGAGAACACAAAGACTCGGGTAAATCAAATACCACTCAAATGATATTTATTTTTGAAATAAAACAGAAAATGTGACATAAGGCCAAAAGTGCGTATGGCGGAAGGCTGTTCACCAATCTCTCTTAGCTAGCCACAATCCCTGATCCAAACAAGCTACACAATATACCTTACGCCAAAACATCACATTCTTACTTACAATTCATACTACAGTCACTATAAAACCTCAAGTCTTAACTAGTGCTTATATGTACAATTTGCCCGTGTGGGTGGGTAAAAAATTAATAACTTTAAAAAAATGAAACCCTATTGAATATATACAATATGTGAAATACTATATACAAGAAACTAAAGAAAATAATGTTAGTAATAGAAAAACCTACAGTCCTTTATTGTGACAAAAACGTCAGTTAACTGGACGAAATTAACGCAGGACTTAGATAATTTATAAAAATAATGCGATCCATTACACACACAACTATACACTCATTCATACACTACAACAAATACGAAAAGTAGATTTCAAAAAAGAAGTGTGTCCTGCATCGACCAGAGAACTAATTTCTCTGCTCAACTAACGGGGAATAAAAGCGGCTAATGAGTATACTTCCCCAAGGTAAGTTAACATTGACGGAAAAACAAAAAGCAAAACAAGCCTAAAGTAATCTATTTTGGGTGGTGTTGCCAATGTTCAATCCAGTTTTTCCAATAATGCCTAACCGGCAACAAAATACCACTCTAAGTCAGCCCTTTGACTCGACGACACAAACGCGCAAGTCTCACCCACCTTTTGTCAAATTCTGATGGCGAGAGTAGTCACCTTTCCGTCCTAATCTCGACTTTAAACTGATGATTAAAGAACAAGATCAATTGGGAAGCGATAAACTTCTTGCCCTCGTAGAATGCTTTCTGTCGCTCTGTCCATATCACGACTCCCATAACACCGAGCAAGCAAAGGAGCACATAGCGATCAGACTTAGTCAACGACGGTACCACATTACTACAAACAGAATTAGTCTCGAAACAAAGAACTTTCGGCACCGCATGCGAAACCTCTTCAATAAACTTGTACAATGTCACTACGACACTGCAGACTTTGAACTACTACTCAAATCCTACTCTAATGTCGCTACTTACTATATTTATAAGTTAGAGCAGTCCATTTTCACCATAGTGCAGGAAGTACGCTAAGTCCTACTATGAAACCAGTGTATTTTGGAGAAGACCACATTTCTACGAACCTTGTGGACTGGCGCTACAGCATCACAAAGAACTGTATCAGGTAACAGAGACCACATCGCTTGTGTGTTTAAACAGTAGCAACAGTTAAAATGTAACTTGAAGTGAAAATAATGACATAATTAATATGTTGATATTCCACACTACATCTAACAAAAGATTAGGAAGGAAACTCCCATCAATACTAGAAAGAGCAATAACAGCTACTGGACTTAAGAAATCTATTCTCAAGAAAAATTGCTTTAAGAGAAAGATTTTATAAATTTAATCTGACATTAATACAAGCTGCTCACTCAAGGAATGACAAATGTTTCCTTATAGGGAAGAAGCTAATGTTTCCATTATTATTCAACTTCCTTTGTATATGCATCATGTCATTAGTTAGGTTGTCCATATATACTGGAGAGAGCATACAGCATATTCTTCTTCAGGATGTGGGTGATCATCAAGGCTCTCCACAAATTCCTATTCTTTGTTGCTCTTTGTAAGGTTTTGATTCAGTGTCTCAAACAAAAGGTTAGGAAGGAAACTCCCATCAATACTAGAAAGAGCAATAACAGCTAGTGGACTTGAGAAATCTATTCTTCTGAAAAATCGTTTTAAGAGAAAGATTTTATAAAATTCAGCCTACAGCATCCCTAACTAATGAATACGGAATATTTCCTTATAAGGAAACGGCTAATATTACCATTACTTGTACTATGGCATATACTATCATAAAATTTAATATTATATATTTACACAATAAAATTGATATTAACTAATCGATTTTGGTATACTTAGTAGTAGCAAAATATCGCAAGTGTTTTAGTTTGTAATATCTATTCTTATTATAAAAACTAAAAATGATAACAGCTTCCTGTGAAACAACCAATATCCTTTGACATCTTTGAACGATTGTTACTCATTTTTGATTGGAATATATGTTAAAAACACGACATTTCAATCAAGTTTCTTTTGACCATCTTCAGATTTCCGTTACCTTTACATATAGGATTATTATATAGTCATTATTATACAGGCTGACCCAAATAGATTGACATCATTTAAAATGTGAATAGCTGAGTAACTACATGTCCCTGGCAAACGAAATTAAATAAGTCTTCATGTTCAACAATAAAATCTTTATTTATTAAAAGTGGAAGAAGACATTTAAAGGAATTTAAATTTTATAACCGATTTTACAAAGCTTCACAAATGTTCAATATATGCACCACCTGTGACACGACACACGTCAAGTCCGTAGTCCAGCTCCGGCCAAACACGTTGTAGCATGTCTTGCGTAACATTATCCACTGCCTCGGTGATTCTCTTCTTAGTTCCTCTAGGCTTGGAGTAGGAGAGGGGATATAGATCCGTCCTTTCACATAGCCCCATAGAAAAAAAAATCACAAGTCAGATGAACGTGGTGGCCATTTCAACAATACATTATCACTGGCACGCTCGACCCATCTTCCTGGTAGATTCTCTATGAGATAAGTCCACACAGTCAACCTTAGTTTTTACATAATTTGATAAAATGTGAGATAATTTAAGCGAGAATTATCTATTCGTGAGGAGGGGGACATTGTGTATTATCATTTTATCCTTGTGACGCCGGCTTGTGTTCGTTAACAAGACAATAGTTGCTGACTACATGATCCAGGAATCGAACTCACGTCCGCAGATGACAACGACACTACTACTTCAGCGTCCCAATCGAGATCAGTGGCGTCCTTTAGAGCCGTAAATTGATGATGATTTGTGTGCGTGTGCCAGGTTTTATTATGCAAAGAAAAAGCTGCATACTATTTTATTTTATTTTATTTACAATATATCTTTTGAGTTGTCAGCACCGTGGAATTTCTACGGATAAAAATAAATAATGATTGAATCATTTATTTATTTTTCCAGAATCTCAAAAACAAACAATAAAAAGAGATTTACCACTTCTGCTACAATATAATATTAAAAAAATTCAGATGCAAGAAATGGCTGACTGACAGGTAAAAAAAATCTTTGTTTGACCATGAAACTACTGTGTTGCTCAGTTTGGTAAGGGGCCGTTCATATAAGACGCATTCATTTATCGTGAGAAGGGCAACTTTCTCTCGGGCTGATTGACACTGAAAGATTGTAGAAATCTAAAATCTAAAACATATTGCTTTTTGATGTCTCGGGAAGGGATATATTTGATCGAAGTAGAGAAAGTGGTTTTGGATTACTGTAACCGAGTAGGACAATCTAGCAGGTAACCGTAATGGACTGGTCCTCGTCGTAGGCAATAGGCATCCTCCTGTACCTCCACATCAGTCTGTATTTATGGCTGACACCAGCCAATCATATTATTGTGAGGGGGAACCCAGGTGTATGCATATTCATTACATCACTTTTTATACCAATATTTCGCAGTGTAGGCTTGTATTTGTACTAAATCGGTCCTAAAATAGGTTCGACGTACAAAACCTTAGGAACTTGATATATAGGTATTACGCAGAGTAATTTTGTTGTGGTCGCTGACTACTTTCGCATTCGACTAACTGTCGACTACTGTCGTCCGACATCGACGCTATTTAGTAACTGCCCCACGCAGTCACATGTGGCACAAGGCCGAATTTAATGTGGGGTTCCCGAGCCCGTAGGCTAGGCCAAAAAATCCCCGTAGACCCCGCATAAACGGGATCGGGTCTGTCTACCTCCCCGGACGAAACTCTGCCCTTCGGCATAGCCTCGTCCGGGTTCCTCTCTACTCGAAGGCAGAGAGTTCGACTGTCGTCCGACATCGACTGACCCTCGTTTCTATTACTACCCTTACTTATATTAGATGGGAGAGTCTATTAACTATAGAATAGGTGTGTTTCACCATAACCAATATGAAGATAATTCAGCTAAAATTAATAACGCCAATTTTGTTTTTACTAGACGCGTGTTAAAATGCTTACAGTATTTTGTATTGTTGAAGTTATCGCTAACATTTTACTCTACGTTTCATTCAATTTCGCAAACCAATCGATGAAATTTGAATAAAGCTGATTTGTTTGGAAAAATACTTTGACAAAAAACCCTACTTGGCGGTTTAATGCTTTCTTTAATTTAATTTAATTTTAAAGGAATTCATGATAAAATATTTTTTAAGAAAATGTATTTACCTTTTTAACAACGAACAATAAATTCTTACGATTTCTTACTCTTGAGCATGCAACTTAAAACTGGCCATGCATAAATATTTCTTTCTATAGCCAAATTCCAACTTTCGCCTTGTGATTTGTTTATAGTTGTCGCAAACGCAGATTGATCTGGAAACCTGATTAGTGCATATATAAAAACTTAAAGAAAAAATATACAACAAAATATTGCGTTTTTATTAAATAAGTATTTGTTATATTAATCATTAAATTGTTTTTAAAATAGTGTGAATATTTTGTATGTTAAATAATAAAACTTAATTTTTCCAAAAAATGAAAATTTATTGTATGTATCCTTTGTAAAACCAAATGTAATTTGTAACTCTTACCTGTTTGCACTTCTCCCCCAAATTTGGTTTTGATTGGTCAATATTTCAGAGGGTGTGATGAACAGACTAACAGAATTCAGAAAATTTTAGCTATAGATAGATTAAATGGGGCAATTCCATATCATTTAAAGCAATAGTCCCATTGGCACCTTCTCAGATGTTGTTGAAATCTTTTCTTCTTTTATGTGCCGTAGGCGATCATAGCCCTCCACATCCTCCTGTCTCTTGTAGATCTCAATAAGTTTTGTCTTTTTGTTATTTCTCCCAGTCCCTGTTCTGCTATCCACTTGTTTAAGCCTGTTAAGTATGTCACAGGTTGATCTCCCCTGTCTCTCTTTCCCTCTATCCGCCCTGTGAGTATCAGATTTTCCAAGCCCTCCTTCCACTACATGTCCCAGAAATTTCAACTGCCTCTTTCTGATGTTAAGTATAATTCTTCTTTTTGTATCCATACTCTCCAAAACCGCGTAGTTACTCATATGTTACATGACTAGCGTATCTGTATGCACAAAAAAATTTATTAAATTTTATATAAAAATATTTTCATGCTTTATTTATATAAAATTACGTTCAGGGTATAAGCTGTGTTATGAAATCTGAAGGGATATCGTGTTTATGCTTGGGTTCTATTCTCAAGCTGCCATATTTTATAGATGCCATATACAAATTAAATAACCTGTATTCCAAAATCCGAAATATTTTGAAACCCGAAGAACTTCCGGTTCCGAGAATTTCGGATAAAGAATTCTCAGTATTTTATTTAGCTTTTGAAATGCTTCATTAAATTGTACAGTTTCTTTAATAAAACAGTTTTTTTAATAAAATGGCGAGGAAGTATTGAAAATGTTTCAATGTCTTCTCTTCTTTTATGTGATATGAAGCGAGGACGATGATGAATTTGCAAAAAATAAAAGTGGGTGTTGGTGAAGACAGGGAGTTTTCTGATTATATTGCTATCCAGTTGTGAATTAAGTTTTGTTTGACAAATAAAAAGACATTAAAGAGATAAGAAGATTTTTAGTGGTGAATGACATTTATGAATATTTGACATATTAATATCTCTATCTCTCTCTTTTCTCTCTCATATATATATATATATATATATATATATATATATGTGTGTGTGTGTATATATATATATATATATATATATATATATATATGTGTGTGTGTGTGTGTGTGTGTATGTATATATATATATATATATATATATATATAAATATAAATCGAAATTTCGCTTGAAGATGGAACGGAGCCCTTTTTTAATTTCAACTCAATTTAATTTAAAGGATTATATTGAAGTTTTCGGCTCTTGTTTTTGAAACATGAGACCTCTTATGTAGCGATTTGGAATCATATTTTTAAATAAATAATTATATATATATATATATATATATATATATATATATATATATATATATACACAAAAATAAAGAGAAAAAAACAGACCTATTAAGAATTTACAGTTCTTGGCATTTACTTTTTTTAAAGTGCTCAGTACAAAGTTGAGCATAATATTATTATAATATTTTTCAGAGTCTGTCTATATTTCTGAGATTAGGTATTATGTACATTATTTATATCATTCGGACTATTGTCCTCATCTTTGTCGCCATATTTATCACAACGTTTCGGCCGTTGTACGCTCCGGCCTTCTTCAGGTGGCTGGAATTTCGAACTGAACCCTTTATTTCGCTCACTCCTTCATATGTCCGAAACTCCGCCCACTTCGTGGAAATAATCAAAGATGCTCCCATCCTATCCAACCAGATGGTGAGCTTGGACGTGATGAGTTTGTTCACCAAGGTACCCACGGAGGGGGCACTCTCAGTAGTCAGAGACAGATTGGCCTCTGACTCTTCCCTAGAGGAGCGGACCAGTATTCCAATAGATAATCTGATGGAGATGTTGACTTTCTGTACACAAACAACACACTTCGGAATGGGATCACACATATATCGACAGGATGAGGCCTTAGCAATGGGCTCGCCATTATCACCAGCAATGGCGAATATATACATCGAATGTAAATAATGTACATAATATTTTTATTATAATATTTCACATCGCTACACAAAGATTTCTATGTTTCGGAACTTTAAAACTGCCCATCTTCAGGTGATGTTAGATAACTTCTGATGAAAATAATTTAATTGGGACATCAGAAAACAATTCGGTAGCTCATTTGTGAGTTAAAAAAGCAGTGAGGGAACCAAAATTCAAAAAATTAAAAAAAAAACACATTTCTGGGCATTTCTTGAATAACTAATCATAAAACGGAACAAAGCTAAAATATAAAATTGAACGATACATAATTATTTTTCATTGAAAAATAATTATGTAGCGTTCTTTGTGGTATTTTTTAAGATAAAGCGTTAAGGTGGTCATTTATAAAAATATCGCCGGAAGTGTCCGTCAGGTCAAAACCAAGGTCACGTATTTTAATTGACCTCCTGATTTTAAAAGTTAAAACATGTTACTTTTATATATTTTTCACACGTGTATTGATGAGAACTTCTTAATACTACTGTTTCCTGGTCTGATTCAACTCTGACCATTAACTTCATGTATATATATATATATATATATATATATATATATATATATATATGTATATATTAAAGAAAAACAGAAACCGTTGATGGAACTAACAGACAACTTGCCAAACCTAAGACCCTCATCCAGATAAGGTCTCGAATAAAATAAATGATAAAATGTAGTCGGTCTGATGAGGCAGGTATATATATGTATATCTGTCGAAATAAATTTATAACCAGTTATATGAAGAATTAAATATTTTCATTATTATTATTTATATTGGCCTGTATATAAAGTTATACATTGTGCTCTCATCATCGATTTAGCTTTTTAATATTTTTATATTAAATAGTTCTACTTGGAATTATCCCTACCACCTACGATATATATATATATATATATATATATATATATATATATATATATATATATATATATATATATATATATATATGATCAATAGCAATTTTATGTCAGAAATGTGGTGAATCTTATTACACTGAGCAACTTGATGCATTGTTTTGTAAAATGTCTCTTTCATGTTCATATAATCTTACATTTAGATTCCTTGCGATTTCTCCTGTGTATTTTTGGGACAATTATTACAGGCGATCGAGTAAATTACTCCCTCAAGTTTTAAAGATTATATGAACACAAAAAGGACATTTTACAAAACAGCTATGATTAATTAATGATGAACATGTCAGTTTCGTTTATGATCAATTTCATCACGACTTTTAGGGTAAGCTTGGAGAGTAATTATACATTCTTATCACTCAAAATAGAGTCCAGTAGTGTTATAAAAACGTCGGAGAGTGAACATAGAAGTCAACACTTAGAGGCGACAGTCTACTTCATGCTATATACAATCGTCAGGCCTTAAGACTATATATATGAAGAAATATAGTCTTAAGATGTGCTATATTTATGAGATAAAGTGAGATAAGAGCATATATATATATATATATATATATATATATATATATATATATATCTGTTTTACTCTTGGATAAGACTTGTGTTTTTATGTCCATCGTTTTTCGTCATATTGAACTGAATTTGTATTTTAATGAATTTTGTCTTGAAAATGGTTTATTAAAACCGAAACGTCTGACGTCGACAATTCTTTCATTTTAACTACATTTATGGATTTTTGTTTGTTTTTCAAAATTTCTACATATATATATATATATATATATACAAATTCTGACCAAACGACCATTCTTAAACATATCTGTTAGTCTTCTTGGTCAGACCGAGAACTTTTCAGCATCTCCTCTTATGTATTTAATGATGTAGTTTACAGTTGATTAAAAGATGAATTTGCAATACGCAGTCTCAGTAGTTGGTAAGCGAACTAACCAACCTTCTGCGCCCTCTCCCCTTAATCAATGTTTTATATTACTAAACTTTACTACTGCATGTTAGTAAGCCATAGAACGCGAACAAAACTCAGTTCCCTAGCAAATTGGCCTGAGAGACTGCTTACTAACCACATTTCTCTTTCCTCGACCCCCTCCCTCCCCCTCTCTCTCTCTCCTTCTCTCTCATTGGATTAGGTTTCTCACGCATGCGCTGTTTCTAGCATTTTCTCTCTTTCCTCTTCCGGTCACAGACACACGGGATCTAATTGATTTCAGCAGAATTCCATTTCTCTCAGTCTGTGTCCATTCGCCTCCGGGAGTTTCTTTAATGTCCAGCTGTTACTGACAGAAACCATTTTTTCTTTCCCGCCAAGAACTGTGCTAGGCTGCAAAAATGGAACTTTAGCAGAAAAATGAGAAACGCAGAATCGTCAAGGTACAAAATTTAGCACAATGTGAAACTTTGAATATGTCTAAATATTCTTATTCTGGGTAAGACAGAGACGTTTTTGAAAAATAAATTTTAGCTTCAAAAAATGTTATTGGCATCAGTGCGTTCCAATTGAATTAGCAAAATCACGTGTGGAAAATCCCTTTTGTGGTTTCCATTTTCATTGATGCATATCTGAAGGCGTTCTCGGACACGGGCCTCCACTCTTTCCAGTATTGCTCTATCGATTTGGGGGACTTCTACACAAATAGCTTCCTTCAAATCGGCCAATGTACGGGACTTATGCTTATAAACACGGGACTTGAGGTTTCTCCACAAGAAATAATCACACATGGACAAATCAGTGGATCTAGGGGGAGGTGGGGGCCAAACAGTGTCAGTAAACCTGGAAATGAGACGGTCACCGAAGAGAAGTCGAAGAACGCCCATTGATGGTCTGGTTGTGTGGGCCGTCGCCCCATCCTGCCGAAACTACACACGTCAGGTAGAGATAATTTTTCGTTGTAATTCAGACACAAAGAAATTGTTTATCATCTCGATGTAACGACCGGAGTTCATAGTAACAGCATTTCTATTATGGACTCCACAAAACGACCAATGACACCAACATACAACAATAAACTAAACTATCATATTGGGGCTGTGTAGAGGTCTTTCGTGCAGTCCTTTCGGATTTTCGAGAGCCAAGTAACGACAATTCTGTTGATTCACCATGCTTTTGAGAGAAAAATGAGCTTCATCACTCATTAACAAAATGGTGGTTGTCATTTGCCTCAAAAATGTCTTCATATGACGTGCGAAGTTAAGTCGCTGTGTATAGTTTCCTGGTCTCAACTGTTGACCAATAACCAATTTGCAGTGGTGGAAATGCAGTTCTTCATTCAAATTAAGCCTTATCGAATGATTTTCGATGCCAAGTTCAGTAGCATGCCTTCAAGCAAAAGCAATTCGGACTACGCAGCAAAGCTTGTCTGATGCGTCTTCTGGGGTACGTACCGTTCATCCCCCCCATCGATATGCTATTCATTAGTGTACCTCGTGTATAAAGTGCACGAACCCAATGTAAGATTGCATTACAAATGGGAACGGCCTGATTTTGGTGAATGTTGAATCGGCGAATTTTTCCTTTTTCTTAATACTTTACTTAGCTTTTGGAAAACATCTTTCGTTATTTCAATGCACCTCCGGATTTCGATGCCGTTCTTTCCGACCTAATCTTGGTGTCTCCAATTAAAGAGATTAAGTCCAATTTAGGACTTTTTCTTAAAGATTTATTTTTGTAACATGCTACAACTTATGTTGAAAAATAGAGTATTAGCCTAGAAAGCATCACACAAGGCGATAATGCCCCTATGACGCAAGGGGGGGTCACTGAAAGTGAAAGAGAATGAGAAGACTAGTAAGGAAAAAACAATAGACAAACAGAATTCAGGAAGCCAGAAGATTGACGGTGCATTTAAATTTTTAATTGTAGGAAGCAAGAAACCGGAAGAGAGTTCCGCAGGCGAAAAGTGAAAGAGAAGGAACTATTAGAATAGAACATACGGTTGCCTCTATCTATTTCAACTGTAAAACGGTGAGACCTAATTGCCAATCTAGTAGTAACCTTCAGTTCATGCGGTCGGTGTAATAATGTGCGTTTTGATGTTGCACATCACATGAAGATTTCCTTGGGAAAAATGTATTACTGGTCTTTCATCCCCCCCCCAAACACCACCATCTGTTTCCAGCATTCCAATTTTGATTCCCAGCAATTAGATCAAAACAACTGCATGAAAATATTTCTGGAAAAGACAGAGAGTAGCCATGTGACAGCGGTGGGAAAGTGACTAGAGCCGAGAGGCCAGATCAGGACTAATAACATTACAGACCCTTTTTTGGGATTTTATGGAGAATATTGTAGATAAAGCAATTCAGGCTTAGTATATTTAAAGTATTCCCATCGGGATCATACGTACTTATCTCATTCCTAATTTGTTTTTATTAATCCAGTCCAGTGGCTGAAATCTTTGGGAAAAGCCAAAACTTCAGGGGGTCAAAATTGGACTGATGGGAAGAGAAGTGGGGTGGCTTTTTCTTTTTCCTTCTATCCTTCTTTTTTCTTTCTTTCTTTCGTTCTTTCTTTCTTTTCTTTCTTTCTTTTTTCATTCGTTCTTTATTTATTTATTTGCTTCTTTCTTTCTTTCTTTATTTCCTTCTTTTTTCTTTCTTTTCTTCTTTCTTCATTTATTTATTTCCTTTATTTATTTTATTTATTTATTTTCTTCTTTATTTGCTTCTATTTTTTTACTTATTTCCTTTTCTCTTTCTTTATTTCCTTCTTTTTATTTCATTCTTTTTTTCTTTCTTTCTTTCAACATTTTCCTTTCCTCTTTTTTCCTTTTTTTTACTATCTTCTACCCTCTCTCTCTCTCTCTCTCTCTCTCAAAGTTTCCATTCTTTTTACCTTTCTTTCTTTCTTTCTTTCTTTCTTTCTTTCTTTGCAGACACGTTTAGTTTCCTTTTATTTTTCAAGCATTTTTCAGCAGGCGCAGACGTCACAAAGAAAGAAAGAAAGAAAGAAAGAAAGAAAGAAAGAAAGAAAGAAAGAAATCGGGCTACTGATCTTGTTATAATACCCGGATGTTACCGAAGTAGCGGTGGGGGAAGTGATGAGTCATTAAAAACAGAGAGAACCACAATCAGTCAAAATTTCCCAATAAACCATCTGTTCAACCTGACCTGAATTTAATCTTTCTAGTTACACCCATCTGCAGATTAAAAGCGTTTCACAGAAAAATATCTCTGACTAAAGTTTTAGAATTAATTTCAAGAAAAACAACCGATTCCAAATGACGACTTCGATAAAGTTAACAACCAAAAGTCGTTTACCAAAATCTTTCATTTTCACCCGGGATTTTATAAGCATCAGTTAAAAGAACATTTAAGAAGAACTTGCATGAAACATTGAATTATCACTGCACTTTTGTGGAATTTGTAAAAATTATTGTTCATTTTTCAAAAATGTTCGTATTTGCGTGGGAAAAGGGTACTTGAATTTGCTGCTTTTAAAATGCAGTATTTTTACTTCCCGTAAAAATATCGAGAAGGAAATGGAAGGACAAAAGAAATGAGGAGAGATGGAAGTGAGAGAATAAACATAAAAATTCAATAAAATGAAACGGAGAGAGAAAGAGAAAGAGAAAGAGAGAAATAAAACAAAAAGTAAATTAGTAAAAGAAAGGCGTAAAAAAAAGAAAAAGAAATAAAAAATTGAATTCTGAAATAAAAAAAAAGAATAGAAAAGAAAGAAAAAAAAGATGAGAATAGAAAGAGAACATAACTGATTTTGTTTGAAAGAATAATTTATTCAATGAATGATCCTCAAATAAAAAGTAAATCTGATTAATTTGTCATCCCCAAAAGTCTTTATCGATTATATTTCATATTCCGGATAAAAGAATTCTATTTAGACGTTCTTGGTTTCAAGAACTTTAGCCAAAGATCATTTCTCCATTGTCCTCAAGGTTAAAGAATCATATCCGATTTTATCGACTGTAATTCGGGAAGATTTAAAACCGAACGTACGATAACACAGTTTTCGCGGTCACCCTGGGGACCTGCAGATTACAATCTGCACGAAATTCTTGCAAGGTAAAATAGCGATTCAGAGAATCAGAGGCGATTCATTCTCAAAAATCATATGATTCGATACATTCTGAAAGGGCGGACGTATATGTTTAATGACGAGAATGACGAGAGTGGGTGCTAATGATAGATTCACGCGAGACTGAATGGCAGATCTCGTTAAATAAGAATAGATTAGTGTGGCTGCGTGTGCATGAGAGAGATAGAGGAAAGAGAGAGAGAAAAGAATCGAAAATAAAGAGATCAAATGAGAAATTGAATCTTTCGTTTATTTCTCTCTCACTATATATATATATATATATATATATATATATATATATATATATATATATATATATATATATATATATATATATATATATATTTTATTTTAATGAATATTGTCTTGAAAAGGTTTATTAAACTGAAACGTCAGACGTCGACATTTCATTCATTTTAAACAACATAATTGCATTTAAGGATTTTTGTTTGTTTTTTCCAAATTTTTCTTCATTCTGTCGGATCTATATCCATTTACATTTGCTTACATATATATATATATATATATATATATATGTGTGTGTGTGTGTGTGTGTGTGTGTGTGTAATGTATATATTATATAAAAATCCCATGAAACGTGGACATAAACCACGAAACTACGTAGTCGGGAGAAGAACGAAAAATAATTCAAATACGGATATTAATTTACCGTAATTTTTTCAATTTTTATATATATATATATATATATATATATATATATATATATATATATATAAGGTAGCTGCCTACATATATATATATACATATATATATAAGGTAGCTGGCTATATATATATATATACATACATATATATATATATATATATATATATATATATATATATATATATATATATATATGCAGCTACCTTCATACAAGCATATTTTCTTATATTGAGGGCTTCAAGAATTTCAAGTTTTTGAATTTCAAATTCTTGGAGCCCTTTACATAAGAAAAATACAAGCAACACTAAATAAGCTTAATTATGAATATAGCAACAATGTCTTGATATTCCTAAAAAGTAATGTTTTGGGGTACTCGAATTGTAATTTTATTTTTTTAAATTAGAGGTTGAGCATTTTAAGCAATAATAATAATAATAATAATAATAATAATGATAACAATAAACTGAGTTACCTCCCTTACAAAAACGGAGGGTGTTTCATGCATATTTACAAAACATTTCCCAACTATCATTTACATTAATTTTTTCTCTTAGCAGTTCACCACCTGAAGATGATCTTGGAT